TTGGCTCCCGTTGTGGTGCAACTGGCTATCACTTGCCTTCAAATGGCCCTTACTAACCTCATAACTTCCTTCGGCATCCGTGCCGATGCGACAGTGGGGCATAGTTTGGGTGAATTTGCAGCCCTCTACGCGGCGGGTGTTCTTTCCGCCTCAGACGTGGTTTACCTTGTTGGTCAAAGAGCGGAGCTTCTCCAGGAGCGCTGCCAACGCGGGACCCATGCAATGCTGGCAGTGAAAGCTACTCCTGAAGCGTTGTCCCAATGGATCCGCGATCATCACTGTGAGGTGGCCTGTATTAATGGCCCTGAAGATACCGTTCTCAGTGGCACCACCAAGAATATTGCTGAGGTTCAACGCGTCATGACGGACAACAGGATCAAATGCACGCTGTTGAAACTGCCATTTGCCTTCCATTCTGCCCAGGTACAACCTATTCTGGACGACTTTGAGGCCCTGGCTCAGGGAGCGACATTTGCGAAGCCCCAACTACCAATTCTCTCTCCCTTGCTGCGGACAGAAATCCGCGAACAAGGCGTCGTGACTCCATCATATGTCGCGCAACATTGTCGTCACACCGTAGATATGGCCCGAGCTTTGAGATCTGCTCGGGAAAAGGGACTCATCGACGACAAAACCCTCGTCATTGAGCTGGGACCGAAGCCATTAATCTCGGGCATGGTGAAAATGACGTTGGGAGAGAACATTACCACCTTACCCACTCTAGCACCCAACAAGGCCATTTGGCCCAACCTGCAGAAGATTCTCACCTCGGTCTATACGGGTGGGTGGGACATTAATTGGAAGAAATACCATGCCCCGTTCGCTGGCTCCCAGAAAGTGGTGGATCTGCCGAGCTACGGCTGGGATTTGAAGGATTACTACATCCCGTACCAGGGTGACTGGTGCCTGCATCGCCACCAGCAGGATTGCAAGTGCGCCACCCCTGGCCACGAAATCAAAACGGCCGACTACCAAGTGCCTCCTGAGTCGAAACCTCACCGTCCATCCAAGCTGGACCCTAGCAAGGAGGCCTTCCCCGAAATCAAGACCACCACGACACTCCATCGAGTGGTGGAAGAGACGACCAAACCTTTGGGGGCCACCTTAGTTGTGGAGACAGACATGTCTCGGAAGGATGTCAACGGCCTCGCTCAAGGGCACCTTGTGGATGGGATCCCTCTGTGTACCCCTTCCTTTTATGCTGACATCGCCATGCAAGTGGGCCAATACAGTATGCAACGGCTCCGCGCGGGCCATCCGGGGGCCGGTGCCATCGATGGCCTCGTGGACGTGTCCGACATGGTGGTAGATAAAGCGTTGGTTCCCCATGGAAAGGGACCTCAATTGCTGCGCACGACGCTTACCATGGAGTGGCCGCCCAAGGCTGCTGCTACTACGCGAAGCGCCAAAGTCAAATTCGCCACCTATTTTGTACGTGTCCCCAGGTTTCTCATGAGATGGTAATGTAATATTAATTTATCTAGGCCGATGGGAAACTCGATACGGAGCATGCCAGCTGTACTGTCCGATTCACAACCGATGCACAATTGAAATCTCTGCGCCGATCTGTGCCTGAGTACAAGGCCCACATCCGCCAGTTACGTGATGGCCATGACAAGGGGCAGTTCATGCGATATAATCGGAAGACCGGGTACAAGCTCATGAGCAGCATGGCTCGGTTTAATGCCGACTACATGCTCTTGGATCATGTGCTGCTGAACGAAGCAGAGAACGAGGCAGCAAGTGTAGTAGACTTCTCGTTGGGATCGTCGAAAGGCAGCTTTGCAGCTCACCCAGCTCACGTTGATGCCATCACCCAGGTCGCCGGTTTTGCTATGAATGCCAATGACAATGTCGACATTGAGAAACAGGTCTACGTCAATCACGGGTGGGACTCGTTCCAGATCTACCAACCGCTCTATAATAGCAGGTCTTACGAGGTCTACACTAAGATGGGTCAAGCGAAAGAGAATGATTTGGTGCATGGCGATGTGGTAGTTCTGGACGGAGAACAAATCGTTGCTTTCTTCCGCGGCCTTTCAGTAAGCCTTCATATGATAGTAGACCCGATGAAGGCACTCATATACTGACTAATATTTAGCTGCGATGCGTTCCCCGTGGTGCACTGCGTGTCGTCCTACAGTCTACGGTGAAAAAGGCCGATCGCCAACTAGGGTCAAAGAAAATGCCGCCGCCGCCGACGACGACGATGCCAATATCGCCTTCCAAACCAGCTCCTACTCAGGTTACCGGCCAACCTATTCCAGCAGAGACCACTCCTCCTCACACCCCGCCACAGCCAAAGCATTTCCCAGTACCGAAAACTACCGCAAGCGCTCCAGCGGCAAAAGGGGGAGGTGTTAGTAACGAAAAGTTAGATGCTGTCATACGAGTTGTTTCGGAGGAGAGTGGAATTGCCCTCGAGGAGCTCACTGATGACAGCAACTTTGCTGACATGGGCATCGATTCTCTGAGTTCAATGGTCATTGGGAGCCGCTTCAGAGAGGACCTGGGGCTGGATCTGGGGCCTGAGTTTTCTCTTTTCATTGATTGCACTACTGTGCGTGCCTTGAAAAACTTCATGTTGGGAAGCGGGAATGCTGGCAGTGGTTCCAGTGAAGAAGGTCCTCCTTCGTCAGCTACTTCCGGTACCAACCTCGAAACCGATTGGTCTAGCAGTGCCTCCGACACAATTTCCGCCAGCGAAGATCATGGTCATTCGAGTGAGGCCGGTACCGACACTAAAAGTCCTCCGCCGCTTGATCTGAAGACGTACTGCCGCCCCTCAACTTCGGTCGTCCTACAAGGTCTACCTACGGTGGCGCGGAAAACTCTGTTTATGCTCCCTGATGGAGGAGGGTCGGCCTTCTCGTACGCCTCCCTGCCGCGCCTCAAATCGGATACCGCCGTAGTGGGCCTGAATTGCCCTTATGCCCGGGATCCCGAGAACATGAACTGCACACATGGGGCTATGATTGACAGCTTTTGCAATGAGATCCGGCGGCGACAGCCGCGGGGCCCGTATCATTTGGGCGGCTGGTCGTCCGGTGGTGCATTTGCTTACGTAGTGGCCGAGGCCCTTGTTAACCAGGGGGAGGAGGTGCATTCGTTAATCATTATTGATGCGCCTATCCCTCAAGCTATGGAACAACTTCCCCGAGCCTTTTACGAGCACTGCAACAGCATTGGATTGTTCGCTACCCAGCCTGGAGCTAGTCCGGACGGCTCGACTGAGCCTCCGTCCTACTTAATCCCACACTTTACCGCTGTAGTGGATGTGATGCTGGATTACAAGTTAGCCCCATTGCATGCGCGCCGGATGCCCAAGGTCGGCATCGTCTGGGCGGCAGATACAGTCATGGACGAGCGGGACACTCCCAAGATGAAAGGAATGCATTTCATGATTCAAAAGCGGACGGACTTTGGCCCCGATGGCTGGGACACGGTCATGCCTGGGGCCTCGTTTGACATTGTCCGAGCGGACGGTGCTAATCATTTTACGTTGATGGTAGGTTGTGCTTGGACTATGACTGAACGGACCTGGATGCTGACACGTCGATAGCAAAAGGAACATGTCTATAAAATTAGTGATCTGATCGACCGCGTCATGGCCTAGCAACCCCTGTTTCAACGGGTGATGCGCACATTTACAACTACTATGGGTGCTGGCGAATGGAGGAAGCCGGGGCGTGTTTTTCATCTGTTGCCGCTTTTAGAAAAGACGAAATTGTGGTTGGCAAACTTGTTTTACAGGGTTCATGGTGTATATTGATTCTAAATATATATATAGGTAATTGAACGATGATAGCATATACACTTTTTTAGGCAATTCGTCTCCCGTTCATCCTTAGTCGTGGAAGCCAGGATGGCTAAATTATTTCTCCTGTTGATTATGACCCCTAGATTGAGCAAGCAGTCACGAATGGCGACAGACTCATCGGACGGATACGTTCCACGCTCTACTCCTTGAGTTCATGTTGGGTATGATATTACAACGCACCTGAGTAACTCCAGGTGCCAACTACCGGACCAGCGCTGGGTTTGCTTGTTTCCTACAACGGGTATTGTATTACCTTGCCTGAGTTTACAATCAACTGGACTTGGAACCTCCAGTTCGGTTTCGCTTGAAGCAGGATGCCTCTTCTTCGGCTAACGTGTATTGGGGACCTCTAAGTCGGGATCGTTGATTTCACTTCAAGGAAAAGTGCCTATTAACGTCAACGACATTCAAATTGCAGCCGTCTGGGATTTTGTTCGACCTAGCTTTTGCGCGTTGGCCGCGGGCATTTGGACTTCGGAGATCATTTCGGACAGCGAAAGCGGACTTCGGACAGCGTAGAACATTGTCAAAAAAGGCTGTTCGGGGATTATAGGACCGCATGACAATGCCGATTCCAGAGACGATAAGGGCAGAAACGACAAGAAAACTCCCGGAAAACCATAGCCCAGGCATTCAAGGTGTAGAGAAGTTCTGCGAAAGACGGGCCGCGAGGGGCGTTCACGAAGTACTCGTAGAAGACTCACGGGTGAGGTGGTCCTGTTATCCAGATATGCCCATGAACAATCCTTCGCTGTAGAAGTCGGGTTTTGCACCGCCAACATGAGGGAACTAGGATTGTTCGACCTCATCTGCCTGGCTGCATGATCCACCAGTTATCTCTGTCCAACTCAGAATTCGTACCCTCCCTAAGCACCTCAATTTTCATAATAATCTATCCTGACTCCTGCTGGTCGGGGGACGCATAATGTTATGCTGGAATTATTTTTGAAATTCCTTGCTCTGTCTATGGAAAGGCATGTAGTGCCCGTGTCGATAGCTCGGTCGCCGGATAACACATTGCCGTACGAGATTTACTCGAACACCTTCGGAGGGATTATGGGCTCAAGGGCTATGGGCTCAATGGAATAAGCCAAAGTTGATTAAACTGAATTGATTGACAGAGTAATCGTAGTCTGAACATGCCAACCGAGGCAGATCCATAAGTATCGTTGTATGTAGCGCTATGATTAAATTACATGAGCGTCGCATTGACTCATGACCCAAGGCGCGAGTACAACATACGCTGGTAGACGACGTTGATTATACAATTGTGGAGATTAAAAGAAGGGACCCGCGGTTGAACGAGGTAACGCCGAAGCCGTTTGACAGGAATTAAAAAGAAATAAACATCGTTCCTTTTCATGGCAGGCTCGGGGTCCTCGCGCTCCCTTGAAGGAAGATGAGAACGGGTCTCCGATGATCCGGAACATGAACTTATGTGCACGAATGTTGAATAATGCTGGAACCACAAGGAAAAAAGAAGAAGAAAAACGTTTTCTAAGAAAGAACCCTAGATACGGGTGATACACGTTAGCCGGGTACTATGGAACGTTACCTGTTCTGCTTGACGTTTCTCCATTCGATCCCTACGGCCCCGAGAAAGCTGAGACAGCTGCAAATTAGGGCCACTTGAAAGACGTCCAGCAGCGCGGCGTTATATGCTACCAGCACCTGGTCCATGTACTCCGGTTGGACTAGATGGCGAAACCCGGTGGCACCGGCATCTACGACTGCCTCTGGGTCGAGACCTGGCAGCCGCAGATTCGCGAGGTTCTCCGCTAGGTGGGTGCTGAAGATATTTTGCGCTACCGAGGTGAAGAGCGCACCGCCCAACATCTGCACAAACCAGATTAGTGCGGTTCCGATGGGAACTTGCGCCATGGGGAGCACAGCTTGCACGGCCACAGCCCCCTGCTGGAAGCCGAAGCCGACGCCGATCCCGTAGAGGAAGAGAAAACCGATCCATTTGGATTGGGCAATATCCACGGTGAAGAGGGTAAGGCAGCCAGCACCGATCGACATGATCACGCTACTGACGATAAACCAAGGGGCGTAGTGGCCTGTCTTGTTGGTCACAGCGCCGGAGATGATGGCGCCGGCGGTATTGGCGAGAATCAAGGCAATGGAATCAATGCCGGCCTGCACTGGTGATTGGTTGCGAATGGCTTGGAACTATTGGACATGCATTAGCACCATCGTCGGGCGCGCGGTGGGTCACATCACACGGGCAAGGGACTAGGGAGAGGCAGGTTACCCAGATCGGCACATAGTAGATCATCACGAACATGGAGGCGCCGATGAAGAAGACGAAGACGGAGGCGCAGGCTACGGATCTCTGAGAGGCTACTTTGATCGGCACTGGCGGCGGCGGCGGCGGCAGCGCCGGTGGTGAGCGAGGCTTACAGGACGAGTGGAAACCAATGGAGGATGACATACCGGTGGCGTTATCCTTCATGAGGATCTGAATGATGATAAACGTAATGAGGAGCACACCGAAGAGAACAAACAGCGCAATAATGCGTGCATTCGACCAAGCGTAGTCCACCCCACCCCACTGGAGTGCCAGGAGAACGCAGATGATGGCGGGAGTGAAGACGATCGTGCCTAACGGATCTAAGCCTTTCACCATCTCCCAGGCGCCATGCGTGCGCAGGTCCGTTGATTTAGGGATCCGAAGCAGAAACAGGATAACCACCGCGGTGACCCCTCCGATCGGAAGATTGATGTAGAAGCACCATCGCCAGGTCACTTCGTTCGTGAAGGCGCCCCCCAACTGCAATTCACAAGGAACGGTTAATGGTGTCTGTCACGGCCGCCGGGTGTATCAACAGTGACTTACCAGAGGGCCTGCCACGGACGCAATCCCATACATCCCCCCTAAGAGCCCCATGTAAACCGGTCGCTTGGCCAAGGGCACAATATGCGCGATGGTGACCAGAGCACCTGTGAAGATCCCCGAGCTCCCCACTCCCGCGATGGCACGGCCGACGATAAGCACCACGGACGACGGTGCGACGCCGCAGATCAGAGAGCCCACCTCGAAGATAAGCAGGGCGACGAGAAAGACCCACTTGGTGCTGAACAGGGCATAAAACTTGCCATATAGCAATTGAAAGGCTGTCCTCCCCCTCTCCCGCAGGTCGTCAGCGGAATAGCAATTCAAGATTGGGTAAAGAAAAGCCTCGCGGGGACTTACCACACGTAGTCAGTAGATAGGCGGACGCATACCATCCAATATCGTTCAGCCGGTGGAATTCATCCGTGATGCGAGGGATGGCAACGGACAGGATCTGCACCGCAGTCATCATCAGTTGAACACTCGCCGTGCCAGGGAAGACGAAGAAGGGCGCACGGGGAACGAACGGTGTTATCGAGAGCTACGCAAAACACAGCGAGCAATAGACTTAGCACAATGAGATACAACTTCATGCCGGAGATGTGACTACTCTCCTCGGCAGCCTCATCGATTAGTATGCCATGGTCGTCCGATGTCCGCACCTCCCCATCGCTCGTGGGGTTACGCTCGGGATCGAGCGCTGCCTCCTTATTGCTGTGCATACTCGGACGATGGAGTGACGTGTCTGGTGTTGTTTTGAGGAGAGGGGAAAGGAGAACGGGGTCAAGGATTATACGGGAGGCACAGGAAAAAATAACAACACGATGAAGGAGAAGAAGAGGATGAGAAGGAGGAGGAGGAGGAGAGAAAAGGAAGAAGCAGCAGAAGAAGAGTGTTTGTGTTGATTGTCTTTGTTGTATTCCTGGCTTTTCGGGCGGCAATCAACCGCACCCCTGCAGTGCTGCCACGTGAGGACGGTCCCCTGCAACCTCTTCGACCTCATTGTTGGCATTGAGCCACAATTCTGGTCCCTTGCGCTGGACCTCCTGCAGATCTCGCTGGGGATGGAGTTGGCAGGTGGAATGCACGCTACTCGTATGCACCCCGGCCATTCCAGAACGATTATCACTACATTGGCGAATAACATACGCACACAGCAACGGCATATCTACGACGGTCGCCGGAAGATCGGCCGAGAAGATAATCGCAGGGCATCGACATGCTTCGGACTAACATGTCTAATCAAAATAACACGTCTGCGGTGCTCTGGACACCTCTTGGGGTGAGTCACTCGATTCGAATCTGCTCGTCTGCGTCCTCTCTCTCAATCCGCCAACCCAGTCACCTTGGCCCGGACGGTGAAGAGTCCCGTTTCCGGTGCGGCGAAGCCGAGATCACGCTTCATCTGCAACTGCTCGACTGTCATCTGGTAGGAGACCAAGTTGAAGCGTCTCGCGACGGTGGCGATGGCTAGATAGATTTCTGCTACAGCGAAACTGTTCATTCATGTCCCAATGTTAGAAGACCCTCTGATTGAACAGTTCGCACCCACAGGAGAGACTTACTTGATGCCGAGGCAATGCCAACTGCCTTTGCTAAAGACAATCAGATACCGATGCAAATTGATCCCGTCGCGGGCGGCCTGCACCCAGCGATCCGGGTTGGAATCCTCCGGATGTGGGAAACTCGAGGGGCCCATGCATACGAAATAGGGGCTTTGGCTGATCGGAGTCTGGGGACGAATAGGGAGGTCAGTCGGTGTTGTTCGTGAATTCTCTGCGGACGCAAAGAAGGCGGAAGACTGGCGCCTTGGGGGATGACAAGGCCTTTGTACACCAGAGGATCGTTCGGTAAACGCGTGCAGATCGATTGATGAAGCCAAAGAACAACCGAAGGCTTTCATTCACAACGCCGGCCTATGAACCACGGTTGTCAGGATGTGCATCGGACCAAGAGGGAACCCACGAGAACAAACCAAGTATGGCAACTGCTCCAATTGTGTCCAGGAAGCCGGGCTGTCAGGAAGCGGCATCACAGTCCGAAGCTCGTCGCGCGGTTGGAGCAGCAGGGACGGCTTATGTGCTACGTGGGACACTCCCACCGCCAGGGCCCGTGCCGTTGTCTCCGTGGCCCCGGCGATAATGTTCAACGTCTCCATTTGCAGTCGTGTGGCCGTTTTCTCCTGCTCCAGTACGTCGGCGGTGACCATCGCCTGACGCAGAGCCTTCTGGTCTCCCATTGTGCCATAGTTCTGTAAATCCAGGATCTCTTTCACGCGCCGCTCAGACAACGTCCACAGGTGGAGGAATTCGCCGGCGGGGACCAGGCGAGGTTAGGTTAAATTATACGAAAGATAGTTAATCTGAATTCACTATATAATTTTTCACTTAATTATAGTTGATATAGAAATTCTATTAATCTAGCTATCATCTAGTAATTCGGAATCCCTGAACCCATTAACCTAACCCAGCCTGGCCAAACACCAGTCTCCTGGACAGTAATGTTGCACTACTCCAGTATAGAGCCACAATGGTAAACAAATAAAAATAAAAGATAAATAAACAAGATTGAGGGTCAAACGCCACTCCACAGGCTCGACTGGTCCAGTGCGGCCCATCTCATTTGTCGGATGAAACTGCAATGTCCCTTTCGTATGTCTGATAGAGTAGTCGGCGGCATGTAACCCATGATCAACCCTGTCCGCCCCGCTTCCACCCAGCTGCTCAACTACTTGTCCAATATTTCTGAGTGTGTCCTTGTCGCCCACATCACAATGGCCGGTAGTTTTGAAGCCATCCTCGCGAGCGCGGCGGAAAACATTCTCGAACAAGTAACGGTGGTCGATCGACTTCTAAGGAGTCCAATCCGATCCCGATGATCACGTCGCGGTATGGGATTGCCTGGACGTAATGCTCCGTGGCAGACTCCGGGGACATATCCCGCAACATACACATTACCCACTGAGACTGGACCTATCATAACCTTTAGACAGATGTCACCGACATGAGGAGATCCTGTTCAACTTCGAGGTCTGTGGCAGCCTCAGACTGAGCTTTTCGGAACCCATGCATCATTGCCTGGAAAGAAACACCCCTCCGCGTATGGCCTTGAGGATCGAAGAAGGGCTCATAGTAGCGGATGTTCATGTCAGTGGCCTTCCGAAAATAATCCATTGCCAGGCGGTACAAGTCTTGCTCGTCCCGCAGGACACTGAAACCACCATAATATAACTGGAAAAATCGCTCCATTCCCCCACCGAAGCTCAGGTGTCATCGTCCCTTCGAGATGGACGTGCAACTCTACCTTTGGCATGTCTTTGATTATGTTGGTATTATGGTGATGAATTCTAGTACTCTGATATTCTCGGAGGGTCTGGTTGGAGACCTCCGGTGCTCTGGCGGTCATGTTGCTCTGCTAGAGGCCCTGCAATACGGGGCGATTGAAATGAAATAAAAGGGATATGAGATCGAGAGAGTTGTTGCCTTGCAGAAGAGAACCAGACAAAGAAAAAAATAAAACAATCCAAGGCGCGTGTGCTTCTTATATATCATCTACCATCTCTGATGCGGGCTGCGTCTGATCACGTGAGATATACAACTGGAGTTCTGGGGAGTAGCGGGTCTGGCCGTGTCTGCACGGGCGATCTTGTTTCGCCGACACTCGAAATACCGCTGATTCCCCCCCACCAACCACCACCCTCGTGAGCCGTCCTCCCTCAAAAATTGCCCTATCTGGAATCCACTGGTTACTTGAGGTTCCAGGATAAGCTCAACCTCCCAGAACTTGGCTGATATGCCTGGAGCCCTCCCATGACCTCATGCACCTTTTTACACTCCACAACAATCCCTTTGTTGGCTTTTCCAACAAATTTTTGTCGAGTTGCTGTTCGGATCCATGCAACCAGACCATCCCAGAAGCCCGTCAAGATTCAAAAGGACGATACCCTTATCCCTTATCATGGATGCCCAGCTGATTCCATGTGGTGACTTCTGCAATTTCATCAAGTGTCCCGTAGCCACCTGACCCAGGACCTCCAGCGAAAACCGGCTCGGCCATCTTGCGTTTCCTCTCATGCATATCCTCCACCACTGTAACCATGCCATGTTCGCTTCCCAGAGGGGAAGACGCAGGGTGATCCTCTAGAGGAGCGTCAGGGGAAACCCATCGTTCTGGTTGTTTGCCGTCCTCGGCGTCCATTGTTCATTGGGTATGGGATCAAAGTGACGGACAAACTTCCGATTAGACAGCCTCAAACACAAATAACATCACCAATGGATCGACTGAGATTTGGAATAATGGACTAGCAAATTTTCGGCCTGACGCGGAGAGAAGGACCAGGCTTCAAAAAGGTGGATGGGTAAGATTGCTTTTGAGCGGGCAATGCGACACGCTCGATCAATGCCACCCACAAATGCCAAATGGAGCATTTCACCTCATCAGAGACACAAACAAAGGGCTGCTCAAAGAAGCGCCTAATCAAGTCCGTTGCTTGTTTGGTTGCGAGAAGTGACGCTTGAGATAGGGGCTATGTGTGACCGTATTATAGAAAGATAAATACGACATGGGATGATTCGTATATGTTATGTCTTTTGACGCTCTATGATGTGGAAATAACTCCTTCAATCAAGTGACAGCACGCCGAATGCTCAGGTGAATATAGTCAATGGGAGCGAGGACATTCTCCTAAGACAAAACGCCCTGTCCGAGGAGAAACTGGGGAGATGAACTATATTACAACCCACCGATAGCCCGGTAGGTAAATCTGCACCCACCCCATACCCGCTCAATTTTAGGTCAACCCGATGAGAGAGTGGAAAAAAGACAACTTTGATAAGATATATAATAGATTAGAAGTTTCCACATAACACTATGATTCTACAAAGCATTCATCACTGCCTGCAAAATGCGAACCATATCAGCTACGATATCAAATTCAGCTAAAGTTCGTCTCCAAGCTGAGCCATACACACTAGGTAGCCCAATTACTCTACGACTATTTCAACCCATCCATCCACTGCGGCGAAGCCACTCCTCAAAAGTAGAAGCCTTCAGACCAAGCTCCTCGAAGGAGTGATCCTGATCTTCAGTGAACGCCCCGTAACAGATCCTATCCGCGGGCGCCACAGCAGCCCATTCCATCATCTCCTTGGCATCTTCCGTAAAGGCCGGACCGACGCGCGGAGCCGTCATCTCGGCGAACGCCTCTGCAGATATGGGGTCGTGGATTGCAGGCTGGCCGGTGACTCTTGTGAATGTCTTTACCATCTCATCGGGTGTGGTGCGAGAGCTTAGCACCAAGTAGGTCTTTCCGTGGGTTTTGGGGACGCCGAGCTCGAATACTCCTTTTTGAACAAGTCGACATGTTAGTTATCCTTTTGAGAAGTGTCCATGGATCCTGTATTTTACCCGGGGTAGGGGAAATAAAATGAACCTACTCGCTGCGAAATTTCCCATGTCGTAGATTGGATCTGTCCACTGTGCCACTTGGCCACCGGGGATGGGAATACGAAACTCAACAACACCGTTCGCTATCAAATCATATCATCATATGAGCCTGTACCTGGGATGGGTTGAGGTCTGGATGTTGCAAGCCGAACTCACATCGGCGAATAGAATATTGAGGCCAACGCAAATTAGTATAAAAGAATCCTGCACCCAAAAAGCCCACTGTCAGTACTGGATTGCGCCGCAGAGCTGTGGTACAAACCCGGAATAAGGCAAGTCACCCCGCCACTAAGTCTTTCTCTCGCGAATTTCTCAACCTCATACTTATTGTTCATGTGATGGATATTCACAAATCGACCCCCCGTCGCGCTGGCCATGTCCGGCAGACTGCTGAAGACGAAATGCTTGACGCCACACTCTTCCGCAGCCAGGACCATATTCTGACCGGCTTCAATCTCATGCTTCATCTCTTCATCCTTCTCCAGGATTCTTCCCATGTGGGTCTCGGAAGTCATGGCAAACACGCCATATGCACCCGCAAAGGCGACCTGGAAGGAATCTTTGTCGTACGCATCGCCTGGAACGAGAGAAAGGCGGTTGTCGCTGGTCTGGTGGGCGGATAGAAACGACTTCGCTTTTGGTGAGTTGGGATCACGCGTTACACCCCGGACATGCCAGAGACCTCCGTCTGGGCGCCTGGAGCCGAGCAGCGCCTGGATAACGCCAGCTCCTTGATTTCCTGTCGCGCCAACAACGGCGATAACATGAAACGCGGTGGGGGTGGACATTCTCTTTGTCTAGTGTGCTAGGCAGGTGCACAAATACTCCAAGGGAATAAAATCTTGTTGAACATGCCACTGTTTATACGGGATGCCGAAACTCAGAGTGGGAGAGTAGCACAAGTCCGTCACCACAGAATGTTTCGTCTCTTGATGTCTACCTAGATATGGATGACCCAATGCTGGATTACTCAGCTCCCTCCGCGGAAGCGAGAAAGTCTCCGATGGGGCATACAGCTCCGGGGGGGTCAGGATTTAGTGACTAGGGGTCAGGGTAGGGCGGAGAAACCATCTCCGAGAGAATCAGAAGAAATACTGCCACTTTATATAATATTTTAATTTCTGACTCTCTCAGAGCTATTTCTTACTAATCTTAAAAAATTAGAAAGATTATTTTCTAACTCTCTTAAAATTTTTTTATATAACTAATTCAGTTTCTAATCTCCTTAAAACTTTTTTATATAATTATTCCAGTTTCTAATTCTTTTAAAGTTTTTATTATATAATTCTTTATCTAAATTAAGAAAAGACTAAAATCTTCTATATTTTAATAAAAATTTTTATTATATTACTTATCTATTTAAATCTAGTTTAAACTTAATCTCTATATAATATTAAGTATAGACCTTCTAATTACTATATAGAAAATACTTTATTTTCTAAATAATATATATTATAATAATTTTAGCTATATTTTATAT